CCAAATCTCAAAGTCGTCGAGATGTGGTTATTATCAAATTAAAGTACCTAATAGACTACATTCACTGTGTGACGTGCAACGGCACAAAACAGTGGTGATGATGATGATGATGATGACAGTATGGGGAAATCTGCCGTTTTTGGTACAATTTAATCTGAAATGAAATACCACAAAACACAAATCGCTCCAGGCAACACAACATTATCAGTACAAAAAGGTCACACGCTATCCGAATTCACGAATCACTAAAACCCCCCGCAACACGGCCCAAATTTCACAATTAATAAAAGCATGAACGGAAGTCATTCAGAGATGTTCCATTCAGTCTGTTTATGCAGTAATTACCCAATGGCCGGAAAATACATTAAGACATCCGCTTCCGGGTTAAGCTATACAGGAAGTTAGTTCCGCAGTTAATAAAGGTCATTCAAACTACCATATGTAAAGTATGGTTGCTCGGCAAATGATGCGGCATAAAAGAGTAGCAGAAATCTCATAAGAGTAAAATTTGGAGACACTGCATGTAATTTTGTGGGAAATGAACATGCATGCAGTTTTCATATTTCTAATTTTCTATGTTTGCCTTTTGGCAGTTTTTGTGTCACACGCTAATTATAACAAGTTTCATTTGTTTTCATATAACAGATCAATAAAGACATCGGCATTTATAAAAAAATTAGTTAGATATTAACAATAAGTTTCAAGTTAATAGGAAGTAAATACTGACATTTTCCGAAACTAACAACTGGGTGAAGGGAGTGGGGGGAGAAGTGGAAAAAGGGGGAAAGGTGGGAAAAAGGGGAAGGGGGGGGGGTCTCTGGGTTATAGACAGTATTTAAATCACATAAGTTTCCGAAACCTAGTTGGAAAGGGAAGTGGGGGAGTGAGAGAGAGAGAGAGAGAGAGAGAGAGAGAGAGAGAGAGAGAGAGAGAGAGAGAGAGAGAAACGGAGAGAGAGAGAAACGGAGAGAGAGAAAGAGAGAGAGAGAGAGAAAGGGGGGGGGGGGGGGTTAAAAACCCACTGCCACCTTTACACAAAAAAGGCAGGTAGTTGGGTCCTAAAAAACATGTATTTAAACAGGTGGTTGGGTCCTATAAGACATGTATTTATACAGGTGGTTGGGTCCTATAAGACATGTATTTATACAGGTGGTTGGGTCCTATAAGACATGTATTTATACAGGTGGTTGGGTCCTAAAAGACATGTATTTAAACAGGTGGTTGGGTCCTATAAGACATGTATTTATACAGGTGGTTGGGTCCTATAAGACATGTATTTATACAGGTGGTTGGGTCCTATAAGACATGTATTTATACAGGTGGTTGGGTCCTAAAAGACATGTATTTAAACAGGTGGTTGGGTCCTATAAGACATGTATTTAAAAAGGTGGTTGGGTCCTATAAGACATGTATTTAAACAGGTGGTTGGGTCCTATAAGACATGTATTTAAACAGGTGGTTGGGTCCTATAAGACATGTATTTAAACGGGTGGTTGGGGCCTATAAGGCATGTATTTAAACAGGTGGTTGGGTCCTATAAGACATGTATTTAAACAGGTGGTTGGGGCCTATAAGACATGTATTTAAACAGGTGGTTGGGGCCTATAAGACATGTATTTAAACAGGTGGTTGGGGCCTATAAGACATGTATTTAAACAGGTGGTTGGGTCCTATAAGACATGTATTTTAACAGGTGGTTGGGGCCTATAAGACATGTATTTAAACAGGTGGTTGGGTCCTATAAGACATGTATTTAAACAGGTGGTTAGGGCCATTAATAAATGATTTGCTGTATTCGGATGTATTGGACCCAAAGGTGCAGAAATCGCAACCTGGCTGTAAACTATAAAACGTGATAACTACCATCCATTTAAAGGGACACACACAGCAGCTTCAGAAAAAGAGAAGTAGGAGGAAGAAAAATAGAGAATAATAAGTACAAAAATAATAATAAGAAGAATAAAAAAAGCAGAAGAAGAAAAAGAAGAAGAAGAAGAAAAGAAGAAGAAGTAGAAGAAGAAGAAAGCATCGTTTCTCAGAAATTGAAATACTTATGTATTACAACGTTAGCAAAATGCATTAAAAAATGGCGGAAAGGAAAAAAAAAAAAAGAGGGGGGGGGGGGGGGGGGGGGGGGGGGGGGGGGGGGTGGGGGGGGGGAATACACTTTCACGTGGCAACAACAAAACGATGTGAGCCGTCCACTATTTCGCAATGGCTAAAATCTGGGTTTCAGGATTTAAGTAGTGCAGAAAGATTCCAAGGGCATGACGAGCTGAGATGAGACCAAAAATAGTGACATTGTTCATGAGGTGAGGGTGGGATATTCGCTCATAGGCTCAAACGTTTCCGGGAGACTGAAATATGTCGGCTTTATTAAAGGCAATGCTTGTTTAGGACAGGGCTGTCGAAGTTGGTACTTTTGCACAAATTTGGTACTATTTGACCCGTGCCGAGCAGAAGTTTACTTTCGGTACCATGTCTGATCTTTATATAACTTTTAGTTTTCTCTCCCTTTAACAATGCGGCGTCCGTGGTTTAGGCGTTGTGAATACGACTCGTAACTCCAGTGATCGAAACCCACTATTGGCTGCGTAGATTTTTATCATGGTATAGGGACGTCGCAGGTCGACCTAGCCTAAAATGGAAAAAAAAAATGATGTCCTGGGGAAATAAAGACAACCAGCGAAATGCTGACCACACTACCCACCTAGTGCCAATTGTTCTGTCAAAATATGGGTGCTTTTCCCAATATGCCCGATGCGCCTAAAGACGTGAAAAGGGATCTTCACTCGCTTACACCCTTTAACAATATTAAGATTTTAACAAACTCTTTCTTCTTTTAAGATTTAAAAAATAAACGCATTTACGAGATCAACAATATTGCTACAGGACTTTAACTGCAGAAATTGGAAGCCGCCACAGGAGCTGTAAAACAGACCAAGTGAACACGCATATGATACAACAATGATGTCATAGACACAGAATTTCATTACGGTAAAGTATAAGGTAAGCCCCTTATATATGTTTGTTGTTCTTGAAATTTTGAAAACGATTGGTCATAGACTGATCACAAACAGTATGGCTTTTCGGAAACTAAAATACTTGCCCCACACTGAAACGTTGTGGAGACAAAAATGTGGGAAGTATTGTTCTTGGAAGCAGAGGTCGGAGGAGACTTGTAATAAGGCCAACACAGAATATCAAAGGCATAGTGGGCATACAAGTTCACTAGACGGACATTTTAGTTTGCTTTAATGAAACCGGCTTTCTGCAAAGCACCTGCTATAGAAATAAACATCCAGTTGTGAGACAACATTATTTTTAAACTATATGGTGACTGAAAAATGTGTGGTGTGTTTGTATGTATGTGTGTGTGTGTGTGTGTATGTGTGAATGTATGTGTTTGGACTTTATGTAGGCTGTAAACTTCATCTGTCTGTATCTGTGTTTCAGGTTGAATCATTCGGTTTGAAATATGGAAGCCCTACAAAAAATAACCAGATGAGAAGTTAGATGTCTTCCATCTCAGAAAAGTTCCTGGTGAAACCAGTCTACGGGATTCCTGGGCCGTTCGAGAAGCTGATAGAGAAATCTGGTGTCCGTATCGAAGTTAAAATATAACCTCACACTACACACTTTCCTCTCGAATCCATTTCTGGTAAAACTTCTGCCTATATTTTGTGGTCAGGGTTATTTGCGTCACTTTCGTGACTAAATTCTAGGGTTTGCGCCATGTCTGAGCTTGATGCTTCCATCCGATTCAGACCGCTCGTCCTCACCGTTTCCTTTCTAAGCAGACGGAATTTATAGTAAATTTGAAGTTACCATGGTAAGTTACGTGACTACAGTGAGCTTCCGGCAACTAAACACACCGCGATGCGACGAAAGAAACTGTTCGCATTTCAGTTGGATGTATTCAGTTTTGTGCTTTATTTTATGTTGATGTAACTGTTTAGTAACGCACCTGACGACACAGAGCGAAACATGCCTGGCAAAAAATTGTGCAAAGTATTGCTTGTGTCCGCATTATTTGAAATTATCGTTAACTAGCCGTACCAGGCAAAAGAGTTGCTATGGGTTAGTTTGGCTAAATGGAAAAGAACCAAAACATCATCCCTATCACCATCGTCACCATCAACATCATCACCATCAACATCATCAACATTATCAACATCAACACCATCAATATCATCACTATCAACTTGATCACCATCAGCATGATCACCATCAACATGATCACCATCAACATAATACCATCAACATGATCATCATCAACATCAGCACTATCAACATGATCACCATCAACATCATCAACATGATCACCATCAACATCATCACCATCAACATCATCACCATGATCACCATCAACATCATCAACATGATCACCATCAACATCATCAACATCATCACCTTCAACATCATCACTATCAACATGATCACCCTCAACATCATCAACATCATCAACATGATCACCATCAACACCATCAGAATGATCACCATCAACATCATCACCATCAACATGATCACCATCAACATAATCACCATCAACATCATCACCATCAACATCATCACCATCAACACCATCAATATCATCACGATCGACATCATCAGCCTCAACATCATCACTATCAACATGATCACCATCAACATGATCACCATCAACATGATCACAATCAACACCATCAACATCATCACTATCAACATGATCACCATCAACATCATCACCATCAACATCATCACCATCAAGACGATCAACATCAACATGATCACAATCAACACCATCAACATCATCACCATTATCCTCATCACCATCAACATCATCACAATCAACATCATCACTGTCATCATCACCATCAACATCATCACCATCATCATCATCCCTATCAACATCATCATCATCACCCTCAACATTATCAACATCAACGCCATCTACATCAAAGCTAAAGGATCAGACTGGACTGAGAATGAAGGTATGACGGTGGACAACATATACTGACCACAGAGAGCCAGATGCATGATAAAGATGTTCATCCGGGATCGTCGGCGTTCCTTGGAGAGGGCGATGGCCGTGAGAACGATGGCGTTGCCGATCACAATCACAAAGAAGAGGACCACGAGGAATCCGATCTGGGCATCCTGCCAACACGGAAGTAGATCAAAATAATACTCATGGTAACCTGGAATGATCAGGGGGGGGGGGGGGGGGGGGGGGGGGGGGGGGGGGTCTCCGTGAGGAAGTGGTCAAGCCGTTTGCCTCCCGCTCTGAAGGTCGTAGGTTCGTTTCATGGCGGCACCGTTTAGTTCACGAGTGCAATATTTACGGAGATCCATGGGGATCATTGCAGGAACTACGGAGGTGGTTCTATGTGCGATACTCTCCGCAGAGAGCTAGTTGTTCTGCGGAGAGGAAATAAGCTATATGGGATAAACCCCTGGGTAATAAAGTAGATCATCTCACCTTTACTTTAACCAAGAATAACTGGCGGGATTTTAAACTGTGATTGGTAGTCTGGTAGTCAGGTAGTCTTAGTTTCAGCTTCATAGCAAACGGGTCACCCCATCTTTGTTCCGCTCCTGTGCCATTGAAAAACATACAGAATCTTTATCACAGTCCCTTGTGGAAAGATTGACAGACTGCTGTCTCGGCATATCTAGCATACACACGCATTAAAGCATACGGTAGTCATCCGAATTGCTAACACAGCAGTCCGACATCAGAAATGCAGTTCATTATTGATGGTAGCAGAAGTCACCAACAGATCAGCAGTTGCCCACGCGATCAATTTTAATCACATACGGGCACCACCAACATTGCGATGACAGGTATAGCGCCATATCCTGAATCTACAATTCACACCATCACGTTGGTCACAGTCAAAAAAAAATTCTAAATAAAATCCGCAGCTTACAGTGTCACGCCATGCATTCAACTCAGAAGCTGGGTGACGAAACTATATCCACTCTACAAATGGAGCAAAAATGCATCGGCCACCGTCCGGGAGAAGAAAACAATTTGCCTTGGCTCCAAACAGTGCCCCGGCCTAGCGTCCATTTTGACCCGACGTCTGTGATTGTTCCCCGTGTGGGTTCCAGGTTCCCATTTTGTTCTCTCCCCAAGTTTCTACATTAGTTATTTTATCATACCATTTTATTCCCTCTATTCTGGCGCAGGCACCAGTTAATGAATGTCTGGTAATTATTAGTCATTGCCTTCGTTGTTTCTCCATGTTTCCGCCCCATACAATAGTACTGATTTGACATTAGAATTAAAATTTTTAGTTTAGTATTTCTTTTAATTTCTTTTGACCTCCACAAATTCCCTAGTGCTATGAAAGCCCCTCTTGCCTTTTGTATTCTTATTTTAATATCTCTATCAGTTCCTCCATCTTTTATCTACAATTACTGCCACAAATAGAGTGTACGACTCCCACGTCTTGAGTGGGGTGCCATTAAGAGAAACCACATTACTATTTGCCTGATTTATTCTCATTTTCTTTGTCTTTCCTTTATGGATTTTTCAGACTCAGCTGCTGTATCCTCGCATTAAGTAATTTAATTTATCTTGTATCTGATTCCCGTGAATGGGACAGAAGGGCATATCATCA